TTTGGAAGAGGTGCCTTTCTTCATCATGAATTTGTACTTCGATCATTGGTATAATGCCAAGAAGGAAAGGAAAAGATTTTCAAAGAATTCTTCAATTTTTACTATATATAATCATTAGAGCCCCATCCTAAATCAGGGCCCTCAGGCCAAAATAATTAACAATTTCGGAAGAGGCAGCCTTTTTCAACATAATTATGTACATGCCTAGTTTATTTAATAAGAGAAGAATATTTTTAAAGAATTATTGCATTTTCACTTAATTAATCATTAAATACTATTGTTATACCTTTAGAAATTTGTTCCTATACAATTCTATACAAAAAAAAGTCTAACATTTTTAATGTTTTGCTGAGCGGGCATAAAAAAACCGATGTTGGACCGCTGAGTGAGGTGTTGGACCGCTTATGTCACAGAGTGGGCGGAGCTTAATCTCATTTTCATTCGCTGGTGTTATACAGTGATAGATCTGATGTTACATCACGGAATTAAGTACAAAATATGTGTAAATATACAAAATAAAATAAAATGAAAGGTATAACTAAACATTTATTGACAGAGTTCTCGGGCAAAATGCGTTTTGTAGAACCCTCGAACTAAACTGTCTGCCTTCGGCCTAACGGCCTCAGGCAGACAGTTTGGTTCTTGGGTCCGACAAAACGCATGTTGCCCTCGAACTCAGTCAATAAATGTATAGTATAGGCCTGCCGTAACACCAGAACCCAGTCCAAGAAGCAATGAATTTATCAATTTTTGAAAAGGCATGCAGATTTTTTCAACATAACTGTGTACTTGGTAAGTTTATTTAATGCCCAGGAGCAGATAAGAAGAATTTCAGAGAAATAATGCATTTTCACAAATTTATCTATTTTGCACTGCCCTAGCACTGGAACCTCTGACTCTGGGGCCATAAAATTCGTAATTTTTGTAGAAGACTCAGTGCTCAGATTACAATCATACCGCCAGTCTGACTACTTGATGTCCAGGAGTAAAGAAGATTTTTAAAGATTGCATTAATTTTAGTGGTTTTGACCCCACCCTTTAGAGGGGGGGGGGGAGGCAGCTAGGGTCCATGAAATTCTCCATTTTTGTTCCCCGTTCACTCATAAGCATGCTTTTTATCAATATTGGTTGCAAATGGTTTAGTTTTAGCTGAAAATGTTATCATGATTTTTTTTGCTTTTATATGTATGGATGACCAAGGCATGATTATGGATGTATATTTTATCAAGTGTATTTGGATCCTTCATTTTCTCTTATTTTCTTATAAATATAGATACAGAAATTAATTATATAGAAACAATAAATCTGCATATCTGATCTGCAAAATTTTATTCTCTCAGTGAAAATGTTTGAAGTTACAAAAGTAGAAATTGTAAGAAAACAATTATACCAATTAATTAATTTACTTGGAATTCAATTTTCGTTACAAATAGGTGTTTATTTACATTTTCTTGTATACAGTATTTTTATAAACACTTAAGGACAGATGAAACGTTCCTTAATAATATATAAAATTTTCCGAGAGTTTGTCATTGAAGTATTGCTACTTAAACATGTTTACTGTTTTTCTTATATATTCCTTTTGGGAAGAAAAATAATTTTCCAATTTCAAATAATAAAATGTTTGGATTTTTTAAAGACATTTAGAAACTTGTTTGGAAATACAGAATGTTATTAAAATTTTTAATATTTTTCATAGCTTATGAAGATATACAAAACAGATATTGAGGAACGTCTCGTCTGACCTTAAGTTTTAAGTTCGTATCTCCTACACAAGCACCTATATAGCATAATCAAAAGGATAAGATTTATACTATAGTAAATTAATCAAAGATCTTCCTCCAATATTTACATATACAGTGTATGCAAAAATATGTATGCAAAAATATGTAAATATTCTTTTTAACTACCTTCCCTGCAGTCACGCATTTTAATGCATACACCATTTCCAATTTCTAAGGCAAAATCACGCATTTACCATTTACTCGCAATCACGCATTTTCACGCACTTTAAAAAGTTCATTTAATCTTCAATTTATTACCAAATTCCAAATATTTTATACTTGCTTGAATCTCATAAAATAAGAAAAGTTATTTTCTAATTAAAATATTATTTCAGAATATTATTTACGCTAAACTTTAGAGAAAATTGTACCCTGCTATAAAGTGCTTGCGGGGAAATGGTAAAGTAATACATGTATTTCTATGACGCGAGGACTCAATGTATGTTGCATAGCAATTCTGTAAGTTGTAAAAGAGTTAAAATCAATTTGATCCAGAGTAGCAGAAGAGTTATTGTTGGCCTTGACACTAATGGACTATCTGAAAAACAAAATTTTTTCTTATTTTTATGAACTTTGAATTTATAATATTACAATTAATCAGCACATTTTGAAATATCTTAACAAACCATTGAAAAAATGTACAATTCTGTAGAGAGCTATATCCAGACTCAAAAAATGTGATTTTTATGTACAATAAAAAAAATTATTAAATAATGTCCTGTTCACACGACAAGTTTAATTCGCAGTAAATTAATGCGAAGTAAACTAATGCGAATCAAACAAGTGCAAATTAAATTGCGTTCACACGACAGCTAATGCGAAGTAAACTAATTCGAATTAAGTTTTAATTTGACAGTCAGGCGTGAGGTAGGCTATTATGATGTCATTTGAAAATCACGTCACCTTATGCAGAAGCAGATGCATTTTACATAATCTCACAGTGTCTGCATGGAGACATATTTTAGAGATAAAGACATTTTTTCTTAGTTTTTGACTCAAAAATAGCACAAGTTCTTAAAATTGGCCACCGACATGATGCATTTGACTTAATTTTGCCATTACACATACTGAAATTTAATTCAAATTAGCTTCGCTTTACGTTCACACAGAGCTAATGCAAAGTAATTTAATGCGAAGTAACCTAATGCGAAGTAAACTAATTTGCATTAAATTCTCTGTGTGAACGCTAAGCGAAGCTAATTCGCAGTAAACTTATGTTTAATTCGAATTAAACTCTCCATGTGAACAGGGCATAAGTCTCTACGAGTTGTACCACAGAGTAAAATACTGTAATACTTGTTATAAATATTTATATAATTTAAAAAAAAAAATTGAATTTCACCTGCACTATTCAAGTTCCTTAAGGTCTCACACAAGGAAATAATTTCACTATATATTACTATAAAGCTTGAATTAAATTATTTAATTTATTAGACTCTCAGCAGAAAATTCATGAAAGAGAAAATAAAGATTAATGCGTAAACAAAAATTTGAGATCAGAAAAAATATGCCTTATGCGGCTTTTAAGAAAGAAAATCGACAGTAAACATACCTACCCCGAAATGCACGTGGGATTCACATGTTGACAAACAGCCTACACACCATCCAGGAAGTTGCATCATGCGCACCTGAAAAAAAGAGTTCCTTTTAATTCAGTGGGATAATTCTGCTAAAGAAATGATATTCCTAGTACATGAGTCCAATTTTAATACTGTAGGCCTAAAACAAATTGCCAAAATTGAAAAAAGAAAAAAAAAATTCTCTATATATATGGAACTTCAATTTGATTGGCTATTTCCTTGCGTAAGACCTTAAGTCTTGATTCTTTTTTCACCTACATCACATATGCACTTGCTGTTTGTGAAAGTTTCTGTGCTTGTTCCAACCATCATGTTAACTGCATGTACTGCAACCCAATGAATTTTAAAAATTCACCACCAACTCTAGGGGGAAGAGAATGTTAGTGAGAGAGAACATTGTAATAATGTTTTGTAAAAATTGACCCTTAATTTTCTAAATTAAACATTTTATTAGATGTATCAAAAAATTGGATTCTGCTGCATGCTCATGCAGTACGATAACATAAGTTTATTAACTCTTACATGCGAAATAATACCCCATGATAAGTTTAATTTCAGTTTTAGTGAAATATTTTATGCCGATCTTTTATATATAGTGATTATAACAATACACACTCACAACTTCTATAAAATTATTTTAACACAAGAATTATTTTCTCTGGTTCCTTTCACCAAGCTCATTATCTAGGTTACTTACAAGAACAGGTGTGGACAGTAATCGATAAAGTGTAGTGACTGTAAGTGTTTTGTCTTTGTAGAAGTCACAATGAAATCATCAAGGAATGTTTCTTGTATCGGGTATATTGATGATATACTCACACTACCTGAGGGGTAAAAAAAAGTATTAAAAATCAATATGATCTTCGTAGCTTAAAAATATGTGCATGCAGATAAAAAAGGCAGAATGTCTCAGATTTACAAAAATATGTGAATAAAGTACAGCTTATTATAATTTTCTCTTCTTTAGGTACATGAATTTTTATCAATCAATAGCTGCAGTATTGTTATGGTTTTATATATTGATCATTGACCATAACCATAAATGGTTGGGAGGTGGATAAAATATACACATATTTAATATTAGATAAAGAATGTGTCTAGAATTAGGGAGTGTAAGGTAGTTTATTGACAATGATAGACTGAAAGTGCACAAAAAATGTTGCACCCTAAATTGCACCTTTTTTTGCATTACGGGATCTGTACTATTTTAAAATTTATGGTCAAAGACCAATATATAAAACAAGAACGCTACAGATCTGCAGCTAATTAATCAGATGCTCAATAAACCAATAATCGACTTTTCTAACCCTTCCATACAGGAGTGTGACTAAAATGGGTAGCGAAACCCGGGCCGTGCCGGGAATTTCAAAACTGACAGCCGGGTTTTTGATAATTAAGAGATAAATACTCATTCTTTCTTCATCTTTTACAGACATAGTTTATAAGTATAGGTTTTGCCTTCGCTAAGAATCTTAAGTCAAAATGTCTTGTTTTTCGATGATTATCGCCGATTGTCCTTTTCCGGATGACTAAAATGGATAGCGAGCTCGGTTACTCATTTTGACAATTTTAAGCTTAATGCATCGAAAGTTTTTATGATATTTGCATTTAATGGTTGTTTAATAACTTTCAATAGTTAAATTGTTCAATCATTATGAAATTACATGTCAATTATGAGGGTTTTTGTCATTTTTCATAGACCCGGGACAGGTCAAAACCGGACGCGTTTGCCCGGGACAAATTATATAATTCCGAATTGCCAGAGAAAGAATGTAGATTTTTTCATTCCCTGACCGAGATACATCTAAGAAATAAATTGGAAAAAATTAATATAAATTTGCAAATCAAAAAAGAGTCATTTATATCAAATTATATGTCATAATCTCATAAGTATTTCGGAAATAAAAGGTTTTTCCCGGGTGAACGTATCCGGTTTTGACCAATCCCGGGTACACAAAAAATGCGTGTATTTTCAATAATCGTGATTTATTATTGCAACAGTTAAATGTTTTAGGTAGTTTAAGTTCAATTTCAAAGACCCAAATGAAATAATTGTAATTATGCTGTCGAAATTAAGCTTAAATCGCCAAAATGAGTAATCCGGGCTCGCTACCCATTTTAGTCAATTGAAAAAGGACAATCGATGATAATCATTTAAAAACACAATATTTTGACCTAAAACTTTCAGCGAAGACCAATCCTAGAATAATAAACTATTTCCGTAAATTCCATGAAGAAAGAATGAGTTTTTATTTCGAGATTATCATAAACCCGGTTTTCGTTATCGAAAATCCCGGCCCGGCCCGGGTTTCGCTACCCATTTTAGTCACACTCTCCATACAGATATATCTGAATGTTAAATACTTATATTTCTATATAGACTCTAATAGAGGGGTAGAATTTTTCGATATTTGGCTTTTATTGAGCATCTGGTAGAACAAGACTGTGCCCCCATCCACATGATCCATCATAACTGCCATCATTAAACTGGAATGGGATGTAGATTAAGAAGTGGTATAGTCACTTCGTAAAAATGTTTTAATGGTAGCATTAAAGATGATAATATTGATGTCTTCAGTATTTTCACCTTTGCTAAAATTAAAACAATTTATTGAAGACTGAAGATCTTTACTTTTAAAAATAGCTACTTGTTTAAGTTTATTACCCTTCGCTGGCCTCGGGAACAAACTCTGATGTAATGATTGCTCAGGCATTAAATTGTAATGGTTAGGGCCGTGGATATCGGCCTGGATAGCTCAATCGGTAGAGCATCTGACTAGTGATACAGGGGTCCCGGGTTTGATTCCCGGTCCAGCCATGCATTTTCTCCTTTCCTGTTACAGATTTGGTGCCGTGCCATGCCCTGGAATTGACAGGTGAAAGACCTGCCAGGGATGAGCCTGGGTTGGGGTCTTTGGAGGGCCAAAGACCTTTAAGGAGGGAGGAATGTAATGGTTAGGGCCGTGGATATCGGCCTGGATAGCTCAATCGGTAGAGCACCTGACTAGTGATACAGGGGTCCCGGGTTCGATTCCCGGTCCAGCCATGCATTTTCTCCTTTCCTGTTACAAAATAATTGTATAATGTCCTCGCTTACTAATGAATATTAAATGCTGGCATGCGCAGGATCCACCACTTCGCAAAAACAAGTTGCTAGATGAAGATTTTGGCACCATTGTCACACATGGTATTATTTTCATCTTTATTACTGGAGAGCAAAAATTTTCTCGCTGACGAGTTAGAGTTGTCCTTCTTTTTCTGAAAGAATGATGAAATTCATTAGGACTATATCTTAAACGACCATTTGGCATTCAATTAAGTCATATTTTTTAATTTTACTGTAAAAAATCGTCTGCAAAATACTAGTTTAAGGCATAGTAACAGTCTTATTCTGAACTTACTATGAGATCGATAGAATTGTAAGCATAGTCATCACAATAAAATATTCACTTGCTTATAATATTATTTCCTTGAATATGATAACCGACACACATATTTATTTATTTTTTGCGATGACTACTTTTAACTATATACTGTATACACCTATACACAAAATAAAGTAACAAACGTCCATTTACATGTACATATTATAAGAGAGTGGAACGTCTGTAGTATAGATGTATGTAGTAGATTTATTGGGAGTGTGTACCTATAACGTCTGCTGATTTTTTTGTCTATGTAAATGGATAGGATAATCTGAATCAGGATTAAAAGGGAATCTCTCTCTCTCTCTCTCTCTCTCTCTCTCTCTCTCTCTCTCTCTCTCTCTCTCTCTCTCTCGCAGACATGTAAATTTCAGTATCTTGCGTAATGAAAAATCTACTGTTCTGTATACATGTTAATGGTAATTATAACCAAATGTTCCAGATTTAATTGTATAACGAATGTATATTTCATAGGCCTTTAGTTGTAATAATGTCTCCGAATAAAATTAAGAAGGGGGGGGGGCTTCAAAAGAATTGCATACTCGGTAATTTTATGTTTATGAATTAAAAGGAAAATACTTAAGGTTGCATGTATATACATATAATTATATAGCATTGCATAAATGTGTGTTCATTCGTATGCTTTATCTAACATATCAACAGACCTTTGCAGATGTTTTTGTATCATGTATTTAGCGTAGCATTATTTCACACAGAAACGCATAACTTTCACATAATGTTAACCCTTTGAGTACTAGTATTTCATAAAAATCTAAGAATCGCCTTTTCTCATCTTTTCTCGGGTATATAAATGTATAGATTATGTATAATTAATAACACTATAAGAATTTTAATGAAATATACGTGTTAAAACCAAATTTAATCTTTTCTTTCTTTTAAGTTGCAGATATCAATTTATTTCTAAAGGCTTTACACATACTCTTCTATCTCCCAGTTCCCTTTTGAGTACATATAATATATTAGAATCGAAAATAAAACTCGGATTCAAGGATAATTTTGCATTCAAATTAGAGAATGAGTTCAGAATATCTTTTTTAACTATAATCATTACAGACATTACAGATTTACACTACGCAGACAATTTAAACTATGCACATACTGAAAGCAGTAACCAACGTAATCTTTCATGCAGAAGTGGATATAGAAACTCGAAGTCTAAATATTATTTTTTTTATGTGAAAAGTGTGGATATAGACGTCTGCGACATCATGGATACTACCTCCGCCTTTATCTTGAAAGTTCTATTCCCACTTACAAGTCAGAGTTATCTATCTTTACTCATTGTCACTACGTAAATAGAGAAAATGAATTTATTAACGGAACCTTAAATCTCCAAAATGCAGAATCCGATTGAATAAATAATATATTTAGTATTTTTGAAGAATAATTTGCATATATATCGCTGTAATGTATACTGCGTTCACTATTTTTTTCTTCGAAGTGCTTAGTTGACACAGAACGGATATTTTTTTTACATATAAATTTGTAAATAAATTACTTTCAATATACAGACTTACACTACACAGCTAAATTAAAACTTTACATATACTGAATTAAGTAGCATGCAAAAGGTGAAATATTGAGTGTGTTAATATGTTGATCTGGAGAGCGTGTATATGTCTCTAACGTCATCAATACTATTTCCGCCTTTATCTCGAAAGTTCTATTCTCATTCACAGGTCAGAGTTATCTTTCGTTGCCCACCTTATACATACTACTTAAATAGAGAAAATTTCGGTACCGAAAATATACAAAATGCGGAATCTGATTTAAAAACAAATTATATATTTAGTATTTGTAGAAAAATGTCTGTTTTACATAAGAATATCTTGAAAAAATATCTAAAAACAAAAAAAACAAAAATTGACCAAAAACAAATTCACTTCCGGTTCGGACAGGAAGTGCTGGAAACACACGAAAACAACTTCAAAACAAATAGAATATCATGATCTAATACTCCTGTAAATTTCATATCTTTACTTCAAACCGTTTCCGAGAAAACTGCCGGACAAAATTCCATTTTAAAATTCGAAAATCGGCCATAACTTCGGACCGGAAGTGAATTTTTCAAAAAACGGAATTTTATATAAACTTCATATATCAACCTACTAACATGAGAAAAATTGAAAAAATCTATCCAGCCATCTCTGAGAAACCGCGCTCACAAAATTTGGGAGGAATAATAATAATAATAATAATAATAATAAAAAGAAACAATACAATCACTATAAGTCTTCCGTTGTGAACGGAAGACTTAATAATAATAATAATAAGAAACAGAGTAAAAACAATATGTTCCCCAACTTCGTTTGGGGAACATAATAATAATAATAATAAGAAACAGAGTAAAAACAATATGTTCCCCAACTTCGTTTTGGGAACATAATAACTAGAAAGTCTGCTATTGCAAGCAATAGCATATGTCGCCCCGTACTGGACAAGACTTTCATTTTAATCATCACTAAAACAAAAGTCCATTAGCTAAGTTTGAACAACCATCGAGTTGTATCAGTCCTTTCCATTGGAAACGGAAGACCTTAATTGGGTACATCCCACTCATTATTTTTAGAATCGGTAGGAGAAGAAAGTAGTGCAGGAAAATTACAAGTTCCTAAATTTGCAGACTTGCATAAAAGAAATCTGGCAGATGTACTGAACTGAGCCTCATACTTGTTAATTGGCAGTATCTTTCCTATCATAAAAGCTTGGGAAATGTTAATTTATGAAGAAGATCAGCCGAATTATTTTGTGTATTGTAAAGCCAGTGAGAACTCTGAAATTTCCCTCTTTCACTTTCATTTTAGAGGTTCTACCGAAAAACGAATCTGACATGCCACCATCAATTCGAGCATTTCTGCATTGCAGAGAGCTGATGTTTGTTAAGGATGATAAATCATGTGTAAACTTTCTCAGTTTAGTGGAATCATGAACATTTTCGGCGAGATGAATGTTTTGTATACAGTGGTGATCAAGGCTTTGCGAACCTGCAGGAGTGGATCAAAAGATTTATGAATGAATAAAAACTATGGAAATGACGTACCAATTTTTTAATTTATACTTGCACTATCTAATGAAATGAATAATATACAAGTGATAGATATACAAGAAAACGCGAAATGATAATAAATGCAGCTGACAATCGTTATTTTTTTTTTATATAGATAAAATAAAATATTTATAAATTCAAGAGACAAAACAGAAGGAGAATGAATGATGGCAAAATATCACATGACGGGAACTGAATTTTATGAATGAAGATTTTAAAAAGTTACTTGTAAGTTGTATATGTTATGTCTGTGTATTCTACTTGGCTGTGTGCTTCAAAAAGGGGGGGGGGTCGTCTTGAACATAGTAAATAGCCATAACGTTTGAACGGTAAGTACTAGGGCTTTCATATTTCAAATATGTAATCTTTGTGAAAAGAACTTTTATTGGATACGACGAACTTTGACCCTGTGACCTAGACCTTGGAGAACACATGTGTACATCTGAATCTTTTTTCTGTTTCGTTTCTATGGCAACTGTGAGCGACTCATTACAATTATTTTGAAAGTAGAAATCACTTTGACACATTGCAAGGAATAAACATTGAAAGTTTCAAAACGATTGCCTGAGTAGTTGTTGAGAAAATCGAAATTAAAGAATTTTAACTTTCACCTGGTTTCCATGGCAATAATCGATTATTTGAAAATTTTAAATGCGATACGCACAACTACAGATACTAATCATTAAAATAAGAAAAGTTTCATGACGAACGTTTAAGGGACCAGAGAGAACACTCTCGGACAAAAATTGTCGCTTTTTACAGGTTTCCATGGCAACGGTAGACATATTGGAACTGAACGACCTCACTGCACAACTACAACCAGCGATCGTCCTTTGAGGAAAGTTTCAGGAAGATTGTCCCAGCCATCTCCGAGAAACAGCCTGGATAAAAAAAACATGCGTACAATATCAATATGTCGTCCCCGACTTCGTTCGGGGCGACATAATAATAATAATAACTAGACTCTTGTTGCCTTGGCAACAAAAAAGTCTTCCGTTCCTGTATGATAATGATTGCATTGATTTTTGTATGTAGAGAAACGTGTACATGTACATTAAGTAATAACTTTAATATTGTAAAGAAACTAGGTTTTTCCTTTCGGTACTTGCATTTTTACTGCAAAAATGAATGTGTTGTTCTCATATATAATACTGTATGCGTGCAGTTTTTTTTATCAAGAAGCATATTCTAACTTTTTTAAACTTAATGGGTGAGTGTCTGGAAAAC